ACGATTCGCAAAGATTTGACAGATGCACATACCACGATCAATCGCTGTTCTAGATTTGTGAGTATTACAATGTACAGGGCCTCCGCCCGTCATAGGATTCAAGGACTCCCGCACTTGATCTCGATTCTCCTTGTGGTATTTACTCCGATCACCCAGGATGCTCCCTGCCATCATTCCGTCATACCTCCACAGCCATATCCATTTCGGGACCTTGCCACATCAAGTGCTACCCAAATGGGCCAACAGGCTACAAGCCACATCACCAACAGTCACCAGGTAGCGAGTAAGTGTGCTCACCTCACATGATGGTCTTGCAACGTGCATCCTGCAGATTGACGAGCCAACAGTGATATTTCCAGTGGGGACAATCAGCGCCAGGGGCCACCTGCAGAACCCGGATGATCTACCAATTGGTCGAAATACCATTCGCCAATGAACTTACTTTGTTATATCCTTTGCCCTGGCTTCTGATGATGCAGTGCTGTACCTGTCCCTCTCCCAAATTCCTAATCACCAGACAAAGCCCCAGTACCGACCGGGTGCTGATTTGTCTCATTTACGGGGCTCTAGGCGAACTCTGTGATTTGGCATCGAAAGCCATTGGTCGGATTTATATCATCATGAGTCTCGCGACTTTCGACAATGGCGTTGTTCGACAAATGATTGGGCTAAGGGCAGCCGATTGAATGTCATTAGACAATGCTTCGTATTGCAAGTTACAGTACCGTGCAAAGTCAGTCCCATGTCAAACTCGCATCTTGTTGGGTAGATTACAGTACCGTAAAAGGACGACTTCTTTTCGTCTCTTCCTCAAATTATTAAACGGTTCATCATTTACCTAAAATAGAAAAGCCTTTCCTTTACCACAGCAATGCTGCCGAGCCTCCAGACCTGCTCTGTTCAGCCTCTATTACACCCGGGCGGTGGCCGCGAGTGTTGCATAGCTCGGTAGCAAGGACCCACTTCTGGGTGACCACACCGGATTGGCCGTACAACGGAACGGCGTGTTGTACCATTCCGGGCCACGAACTTGACGAACACCCAGCCAATTAGAGTAAGGTGAGGTGATTTTAGGTAAAGATACTAAATGAACTTCTAGCAGGGAGGGATCGGTGATATTGTGGTTGTGTGAGCGGTGAATGCGCAAGACTTCATTGATGAAAATTAATATATATACATACATACAGTTACATACTGTACAGTAAGAGCTTCCTCTTTTGCAACATTCTTCAGATTTCTAAACGTGGCACTCCCAGTGCAGATTATGTACTAATACACACCGTACACGCTATTTGTCATGGTTGAATGACCTAGGGTTTTGCACTCTTATCAGTCAAAAGCACTGCCCCGTAGTTGTTAGCCTGTGCCTCATTGAAGGCACCCTTGCAACTCATTCGCACTGTAATTGCGGAACAAAGATGATTGGTCAGGCTGCTGTACTTGCGTAGACCGTGGAGTACCTGCAGAATCTGATTTTCATCGGTACTTCTGTCTGTCATCAGGCTCTCGTTGCAGATGTTCCTGAACGACTGAAACCTTGCGAAGTAGATCGATGTGACTCCAAGTCCTCACCGAATGCGGAAGAATAAGCTATTGACTTGTAAGGGGAAGATACACATGCTCATAACTGTACATATGCTCATAATTGTATATCAAATTCCCAGGTGGCGCGAGTGGTGAAGCTGGTTACAGTATTCATCAAGTATGGTATAGCATTTCCCGGTGTAGCCAGGAGATAAATCTACCCAGCTGCGTGGCCCATTACTGTAGAATTGAATTAGTATTGACTCGCACCACCTCACGCCCAATCTATGCCGTTTCGGGAACCAAGGCCGATTCGCCAAAATCACATGGCCAATGAAGGTATCAAAAAGTGATTATCTGGGCTGTGTGGACCTTGGCCACGACGATACTGGCCACTTTGTGCTTTTAGTATCATGCTCGGTAACCAATAAGCTTGTAGTGGAGTCACCCAGAACACAAGTTGATTTGCTCCGGTCTTGAGGCACGGTCTGCCGTAGGCGGACTGGAATGCAGATGGCGAGCTCCAACTTGACCAGTCAATAGTCACATATGATGTTCGCACAGCAGACCTTTTCCACTACGCAGGCACTAAATGCACCACAGCCGCCTTCTGCAACTAGTCAGCTCTCTTGCGGCAGACGCGGTGCAAAATAGGGCTCAGGTGCCAGCCGGCAATTTGTGCAATGCATAAGCGACTAGAGGGGTAAATCGCCTGTCTGCACTAGTCGTGGTGGTGTCATTGTCAAACTTAATCCACATTGGAGTTATGATTTGCTAAGATCTGCGTAGATATGCGGAGCTGATCGATGCGCGGAGCAGCGTGTTGTTGGGATGCTGCTCCATACAAAGCCCCATGTTCTAGCTACTACAGGCCAAGTGTGGAGCACTGTCGTGCTGTACCTACATCGAGGATGTTGCATCTATTCGCCATACGAAATTCTCGAAGTAGGGAAGCATAGACAAAACGTACTCATATGGGGGCTTCTTGCTCAATTAGTGTGCCATATCATTTGTGTCCTCAATCTGTCACACCCCCTCGGAACTCACATCCATTTCGAAATCCCACCACATCAATACTACTTAACGCGCTAGCAGGCTGCACAATCCATCACCAACAGTCACTAGGCACCAAGAACGCAGCGTAGTATTAGGCGAACGCGCATGACTTCACACGATGGTCTTGTAATGTGTATACTGCAGGTTGGTGATCCACCGGCATATTTTGCAGAGGATATGACCAACGTCGGGGAACACATTCCTGATCTGGATGATCCAGTGAGGCCACCAACGAGACATGTAGGGATTAGAATACCATTGGCAAAGGAATGAGGCGAGACTAAGAGACTACAATTGAGATATTATCGTGAGGTTCAAACCAAGACCCGAACAACCTCAACCACTAGCAGGATCTCTGTGTGGTATACTTCTCTAACCTGGCTTTCGATAGTACTTGCCTCATCAGTGACAGGTTTAGAACGAGACGGTGCTTGTGAGACGCGATGCTGTTGCAGTAGGCTATTACTCGCTTTTTCTATTAGTCTTCACTGGACAGGGTCCAAGCTTCCATACCTTACCTATGCTCTGCTCTGTGCTGGTCTTTGCTGGCCCAAACCTCCTGTATTGGCAAACGAAACCCCATCACCTTCAAATTCATTGCTGGAACCAAGGCTGCCAGCCCGCCCGTCGCCGGGGCCCATACACATGCTCCCGCCCCGCCAATTACTTAAAAATTTCATCTCTTCCCTGTTGTCATCCCAATCCACCTCATTTTACCGGCTCCAGGGGTGAGCAAGCAGGAACGTGAGTGCTCCAGCGCCCGGAAAGCGGCGGGCAGAACACACTCCACGGTTGAAGCATACAGATCAGGCCAAGTATAAAGGTCCAGCGAGGTCCGCACCCTGCAAGAGGGCTGCATAGCTCCAGCACAAGGACTCAGCCACTGACTTCGCCTTCGCAGTCGCATATCCTGCTGCCCACCTGGGATTCGCCACGCTCGACAGCAGCAGCCGACCATAGGCCAAAATAGGCTGCCCACCATGCTGAACGATAAGGAACTCGAAGCCGCTGCTAATCGGCTGGCCGCTTATCGCACGAGTGACGCCCTCAATGACATTCTAACCCACTACGATACCCTTCTGAACAACTACAAGCTCCTCAAAAGCGACTACGAGGAGGAGCGAGAGGCCCGAGAGCGCTGGAAGCAGCAAGCCCGTGGCCAGGAGCGCAACCCTTTCGTCCTCGTCCTTGTTGACGCTGATGGCTATATTTTTAATGATGAATGTGCTTGCGACCCATCAACCGTCCTGCAGCCACGGATCTCAGATTTGCTGATCTTTTGTGTCTAGTAATCGCTGCCGGCCACAACGGTGGCGGTCAAGCCGCCCAGCTGCTGAACCACACTGTCAAGGCCAGCCAGGAAAAGAAGGGGCTGGAACACTGCGAGACCATGGTTCGCGTCTACGCCAACGTGGCCGGCTTGTCCAAGGCCCTCGCCAAATGGGGCCTCTTGGGAGCCGACAAACGCTCGCTGGGCCCTTTCATTGCAAACTTCAACAGGTCTTACGGCCTTAGCGATTTCGTCGACGCTGGAGAATTCAAAGAGAATGCCGACTTCAAGCTCCGCGAGATGCTCAGGCTCTACGCCGAGAACACCCAGTGCAAACATATCTATTTTGCCGCCTGCCACGATGCCGGATATGTCTCACAACTCACCGCCTATCGAGGTCAAAAAGACCGCTTCACCCTAATCAAGGCCCCTTCTCTTCACTTCCACGACGAATTCGCAAAGCTTGGTCTGTCAATTGAAGAGCTGCCCGGCGTCTTCAGGTCCGCTGGCTCCGCTATGGATGCCTTATGCCCGAAGCCATTGCAGTCAGCAGGAAAACCTTACTTATCTTTATCTACGGCTAGAACTCAGACCGTAGGGCTGAAGGAGACATGCACGTTCCACTCAGCCGGCAAATGCATTTATGGCGAGTACTGCAAGAACCTCCATGTTGGTCCAACGCCTTTGGTAATGCGCCGATCCAAACTGAGTTTGTCTCCTTGGCGGAACGGAAGTGAAGCTTATAACACCATTGATTATTCTTTGCCTGATACGTCACACGGCGCTTCCAGCCGAAGCTACCTACAGAAACCCCATCCATTCGCCGAGCTGCCGAGGAGGGATGAGATGCCAGACGGTTACGTTGCCATCAATAGAGCCCAGCAGCGCCTCGACGCTTACATGCCCGTCCCAACGCCTGAGTCCGAGGCACGCCTCAAAGTTAGGTCCGCCGTCAAGCGACTCTGCAATACTAAAACTCTAACAGGTTCTTGCACCAATCCGCACTGCGAGTACGACCACGGCCCGCTCGACGAGGACCTCGTCCCCACACTCGAGTGGCTCGCCAGGTCCATACCCTGCCCTCGCCGTGAGAAGTGTCGCAATGCGGCTTGCACGGCGGGTCATCTTTGCCAGAAGCCGGACTGCAAGAATCGCGGCGGTAAAGTCTTTTGCAGATTTACCTGGGGTATGCACTTTGATGACCTCGCTGTCGACCGGTATTTGCCTGCAATTTCGAATAGGCAAACTGCGTCACCGCGCGCGCAGCATACCACGCCCCTACCATCCGACCATGCAAATTTAGACACAAATGGAGACGGAGCTGATGGTGAAGATGAGAAAGAGGGTGAAGAAACCTCAAGCGCTAACGGCGGCTTATCTGTGGACACGTTGTGAAAGCCTCAAATGTAACGCACCAGTCAGAAGCATGGCAACAATTATGTTGCAGAAAAACTGTTTAGGCTGGTTTTCGGGATTAGAGTATATGGTTAAGGAGTAAAGCCTGTATGAGCTTTAAGACATTGGAAGTACAATCATACCCTTCCTGTCTTAAAACCTCGATTTTACAAAATGGTGGGATGTAAGGGGTTGGTCAAATATTGCTTTTCTGGACGCATCCTGGCATCCTCAAGGGGGATAACCATGCTGGTCGAGATGTGCGACCTTAATCTCGCTAGGAATACATGGATCACGGTATTTGAAGACTCTCTAGCCATTGTCGTTCCGGATGCAGATTACACATTTGGCCAAAATTCGGCACAGTCATGATTCGATTCATCGCGTCTTGCTTTGCGGCTCAAGATTAGACGGGATCAGTAGCTTCGAAGTCGAAATTTTTTAATTCGTGAATCACTAGAAGTCGATGAGAATGGCTTGCATGACGAAAATATGGCATTGTTTATAGAGTGGCTTCTGGCTGCCAGGCATTTCAGCTCATCGCGGTCCACTCCATAGGATCTTTCCTTCCTTGGGCACAAACAGCCTGTATTGAATTCATACTGAGATGAATATACATCTTCTAACGTTAAAATCATTCATTATAGATAGACTGCGGAGACGAATGCCACTCATTTCAACATTTTGATTAGATTTTGCGCACTCCAGACGTGGGTGTATCAACGTCATGATGGGCTCTTCAGTCTTGGGTAAACTTGTTTACAAATGCTGGCAACATGTATAGAGCCCAGACACTGCAACCGATCGATGCGGCCTGAGCGAGGTTGTTTTGGACAGATTGCTGAGGCTTCTTGCATGTCGGCGTTCAGTAACCCCAAACTACCGACGTGGTTCAACACGTAAGGGTGACCAGAGTAACTTTTAGAGGTGAGGACGTTCGTTCACATTGACAAGAGGGGTCCAAGATGTCTCGGCAAGAATTCAGCCACACAGGTGATACCCGCGTTTATAGCTGCCGCTGAGTAAAACTGTATCATCAACTTAGGCCCCCGACTGCTGCTGCTGCTGCTAGCAGAAATGGTCGCATTGCGGCCTTTTGCCATTTGGTCCACACAGTTCTCACGACGCTGTGCCAATTGCGCACCTTCAGCTGGGATCAGAGAGCGGGAGGGAATTGACGCCCGACAGGTAATGAGACCCATGTGCTTGAACGACTTTGCGCATATTGTATTGGTAAACAGTTGAATAGGCCTCCATCTTTGTCCGCCCCTTGAACGGAATAATGAAGGAAATTTTGTCTCAAAGTGTACACCTTAATAAGTGGCCGAGTTCTTTAATTGCGTGAATAGTTTATGCGGGAGACAAAAACCACCCATTACACACAGAGCCCATTTCTGTGCTTCTGGATCAATGAGTGGTGCGTCTTCCGCGAGACTGCCCGTCATGTGTTACGTTATTGTCCGCAGTCAAATTAGCGTATCCAGGTCCCTGTCTCAAACCGCCTTATCCTCGCAGGAGTTCCGAATAGATGGGAGGGGGTACGAATTAGGGACCAACGGCCCTAGAACTAGGCGTCCATCTTCTGGGCCTGATCATGGACCGCCGGGGACGTAATTTAGACTCTGGCTTAGGTCTTTAGATGTGCACATCCCTCAGCAGCACTTCTTTCGTTCTACATGCAGAAATCATGCCCATCATGTTGAAGCGGGAGACCGTATTTCCTGGTAGCAGCCAATGGGCCGCTGCCAGAGGCTCAGAGCCTGCTCTAGAGACAGACATTCAACCCCCTGTAACTCCTTTATCCGTTGCCAAACGAAGGAACCGATTAGCCATTCCTCGGATGGACCTGCCGGTCAACATTGCACATTCTGGTGATCACCATCCACCACCTGTCATCGATGGGTCGCCATGGAAGCATTACAAAACAGCCTATGGGCTTGAAATGGGCGGTTACGTCGCCGTTGTCTGCAAGATCCCCGCTACAGACAGACTATTCTCAATGCACAGTATCTCCGGCCCCAGTCGGGCACAAAAGGTCGACATGCTCCGGAGCCTGGACCACGGCAATCTCCTCCTGCCCGAGGAGATATTCACATACGAGGACTCAAGCTGCGCTATCACCGAGGCTGCGGCCATTTCTCTGGGAGATCTCGTACTGGTCCGCCCAGACGAGATCCAGCTCGCTGCTATCGTAGGCCAGGTCCTGCGCGGCGTATGCTACCTTGCATCTCAGGGCTTGTCTCATGGATCGATCACCCATGCGAATGTCCTTCTAACCACTAAAGGGATTGTCAAAATTGGTAAGCGCTGCACCAAAGTCTCGCGAATCGCGAATGATTGCTAACGCACGCTTGGAGCTGGTTGCGAGGGATGCTCTTCTGCTATCGGAGAGACCCGGAAAGCTGATGCGCGAGCATTGGGAAGGGTCATGTGTTGGCTGATGGGCGATGAGACCGAGACCGCCGTGGGAGGTGACGAATCAAAAAAGGGCTCGCTCCGGCTGAAAGACCCTAAAAAGCGGTCGGCGGAGGCGGTCGATTTTCTGAGTCTCACCCTTAGCGTGTCGGTCCAGACGCTGGCGGAGGTGGGTCACTATCCCCTAGTCTCTTTCCGCGGATGTTGACGCCTGTCTAGCACCCGTTTCTGAAAAACCCTCTCCAGATCAACGAGTTGATCCCGTTAGTCGGATTGGCCCTCATTTCATCGTGCAGATTCTACGATCTGCAAAATAGTTTCCTGCGGCCCAGCTCGAGTTAGGAAACCAACGTTAGTGGATATTCGGCCTCAAAGCCAAGTGCGGGACCAATTCCTGCTGGAGGAGTGGGCATCTTGTCGAGGAATGAATCATGTAATCAAGTAGAGGATAAATTCCTCAATCGTGCTCTGATCACACGATTGCTGTGCGGACCTTCTTATCTTTGTATTCGAGGGACGACGTGACAAGCCCGACTGCTCGCGGGAAATGGCCTGTCCAGGAATTGGGAAGCGACGTCAACTGCAGGTGTGTGTCTGCTACCGTCAAGTATGCTCTAGGCTTAGGAACACTAGGCCCTTCTCATCCCAGAAGTGCCCAAAAAAGAGATCATCACATAATTGCGGATGGACAGAACCAGGTTACAGCTGCAGCTTGACGTGTTCACAGAAAGCGGCAGTCCAATCTGGCGATGTGATCAGTGATACGGGTCTCGCGTCCTTGAACACGGTGAATAGCGATGTAGACGGAATACAACGCTTCCGTGTTGATTGAAACTCTGACTGGAACCTGCGCCAATTTTGCGTCATCTTATCATTATCCAATTTATGCCATATTCTGATGGCAATCGCAAAAATGGATGCCCATCTAACTTAAGTACTCTTCCTCTGATGATAGAATGGAAAGC